GCACGAATTCGTGACACCAGAGTCAGTTGGTCTTCTAGCTTCTTTCAAGGGCAGTAGTCTAAATTTGGATAAGATTCCACTGAAAAAAAATCTAAAGGTTTGTTGGAAGTGGATTGTCATTAGTTGGTATACCATTTCCATCACTACTACTCACTAATAAGTCTTAAACTAATAGGGGACCAGTAGGACCAGCAGGAGTGATCTGGCACTATGATTTCATCATTCCATGTCAATCAGTGTTTTTGTTTTTAGGGTAATGTATTTTAAAATTCAATATTTCATAATTGAAACTGCACTAAATTAAAAAACACTAATTATTGAAATAAATGATCCTCTCACGGTACTTTCTTCCGGTGACTAATATACACTTTTTTAATGTATTTTATTTATTTATTTATTTTGACCTAGGGGAATTTTTTAGGTGGGGGAGGTTGTAGTTGGGTGTTGAACCCATAATTTTAATCGCAATACACCTATTCCAAAGGAGAGTGGTCACTAGACTGACTACAAGGTGCTGGCCATTTTAACAACCTTTTTTTTTATTCTTTTGAATACAGGGTTACAAGGTGTAGGACCCGAACCAGGGCCTTCTTTTTTTCCAAACTTAAGTTTTAAGTATTTTCTCACGTTTAAAGCGTTTTCTCAAGTTTAATATTATTTTTTCTAAAATTTTAACTTGAATATCTCATTTTTTTAGATTTTTAGAATATATGGTAGGCCTATGCCCAAATGTGGTTCTGCCACTGGAAAGGACTACCCGTGAGTTGTGGCCACACATTTACAAGGGGAAGGACTATAAGGCACTTGTTCCATTAATGTAGCTGACACACAGGAGCCACAGCAACCGCACGCCACATGACAGGCCTTTCTTCTTCCCCTTGTCTCCCAAAACTGATATAGTTGGCAATTTGGCAAACATAACTTGAGACTCTTAAGCCAATTGTACCATCATATGATATGATCTATGATTGCAATTATAGTATATTTAACACCATCCTTTTTTTTTTCTTGTTAAACACAGTGATAGGACTCAAACACTATACTTCTATTAAAATGAGATGTTCCTTAACACAACATAGGTGGCCACTTGGGCCACAAGCATTCTCGACACCATCACTTTAACAAAGTATGTGCAGCAATTGTGCGAGACAGGCATATTGATTTAGCGGATAGAAAGAAATCTACACTTTCTACCAGTACGAGACGGTGCACGGATACTAAAATCAAGAGTTCAAGGCCCAAGTACAGCATCCTCATCAACTTATTTTCTCTCTAAAAAGAACAAGCACTTGAGCCTTTTAATTAAGCTCGCTTAGACTAGAATTAACGTCCAGTTCCTGCCTTGAGGTTCAACCCCAATATGTCTCCAAAATCGCAATGTATAAAAGAAAACTGAAAATCCAACAAATTTTTGCTAAGATAAATTCATTGTTATGGGATGTTATGCTTAAGTTTCGAATTTTAAATTAGGTGGGAGAGATTTTAAAAAATTAAAAAGTTAGCTCTTTTTATGTAATACATCATTAGATGTACCAAAAAATGAGATCTTATGCTTATACAGGAACAACATATATATATATATATGTATGTATGTATATATATATCTATGAATTAAGAATGCATTTCACATTGTAAACGAGGCCAGAAGAAGGAATGGTAAAAGTTGCAAATTAATAAATTCATTATTTGCTTTCTACAACATTCATAAAAAAAAATAAAAAAAAAATGGAGGATAGTGAGTGATCATTGGATATAAGAGCTAGGTCAATACCCTCTTTGTTTGATAATAGTAATTAAAATCTTTTGGAGAGACATCATAATCAGTCCAGTGAAAAGCATATGCACAGGCTTGACTTCACCAGCGCCATCTTTTGTATGGCGTCCACCAAGTCAATTAGATTGAACAAACCATATGCTGACAATGTGGTTCCGCTGAAACAAGGAAATAAAATACCTTCCCAACTACTTCACCATATATATCACTCATTGTCATCATATATTTTATTGATTACGAAAGCTTAACCATTTTTTATTAATCCAGTAACTGGGGACCATTAGTTACAACACTAATTAAGCTCCCCTTCTTAAATTGGTTTTGCTCACAGAAAGATTCGATTTTTAAGAAAATTAGATCCTTTTGGAGGTAATTAATTTTTCTTCGGTACGACCTTATCCATCCCATTGATTACTTACTATCTGTTAATTTCAAATACTAAACTAGGAAGATAATTTTATCGGATGTCCCCAAAGGGACACTAAACTAGGAAGATAATGGCTTACGTAGTTCAGCTATTACCTAACCACTACTCTATATGTGTATATTGGAACAAGTTATTTTCTATAGCTTGTTTCACTCCAACCATCCATTTTTGTCCAATTTTATTGGGGTCCAATTGGACTTTTGGTGTAGGTTATTTAGTCAATTTGGAGGATGCTTGAATTTGGGGTTTGGATTTCATGTTATACAAGGTCCGGCTAGCTAAACGAGAGGGATTTCCTTTTGTTATATATGCTGAATTAGCTTAACAACTCTACCCTTTGCACAAGATCACAATTGCGTACATCAGTTGCAATGACAATGAAACTGTGCTAAGTTAGGAGAAATAGATGGGAAAGGACGTCTTACATAAGTCCCAACTTTGAGGTAAACATGTCGATGTGTTGCTTCTAATCTAACTTTAAATAGTTGCATTAGTTTTCCCTACCATATGGTGCCACAAAATCAATTTTATATGTATCTAACTTATGTTATAGAAATAGACCAGTACAACTGATTTATTTGTAATATATTGATTATCTTCTTCTTCTTTGAATCAACCTTCTTATAAATGAGGAAAGTGATGTAATGGTGGAAAGAGGTTGGTTAGTAGAATTTTACATTAAAGGTAAATTCATAATAATTATAATTTATAATTAGAAGTTAATTTTTTTATAATAGATTTTTTGAAAATCAAATTATAAAATTTACGTGTTAAAGCAAACAATATCTCATATCTCATGTAGGATTAACTCAATATTCGTTGTCAATATTGATACCATTTGCACACCCTAACAAATCATTACACCACATTGATAGGAGGTTAATGATAGAATGATGAAGTGAGGTATTATCCCATAATGGTTTAGTTGTGCCTAAAAAGCAACGACCACCCGCTTTGCTATGGGAATCATTTTAAGGACAACCTAACCTACCAACATACGTTGACAAATCATTATCAATTGGAACTAATAATGTAGTGCTGGAGTGAGGTTACTATCCCACAACAAGAGTGCATTAAGAATAGCCCTTAATATATATATGTATATATATATATACACACGAGATCTACAAGCTTGTTTCTGTTTTTTTTTTTTTTTTTTGTTCTAGTTTAATTTTTCTATGTTGTTTAACTTAATGCTTTTACATGACAAATTATTTTTTTTCCTTTCTGTACAAAATTTTTATTGAGGAATTTTCACATACATAAAAAAAAAAAAAATCAATTTTTAATGATCTACCATATAATTATATAAATAGAGACAATAACAACTAAAAAGCAATTCTTTTTTAAAAAAAGAAGGAAATGACATAGGTAATTTATTTTCAACTAAAGATTGTAATTATATAAGTAGAACAATCATAATGAATAGAAAAATGAAAATAATTGCCTCATATTATTATAATTGTAACAGAAAATAGATTTCCACAGATGATATTAAAAAAAAAAAAAACCCATTTAAGAAAGAAACGGGATGCAGTGTTGGCATGAGAAGGAGAAAGTAAAAATTGAACCTCACGTTTCCATTACATCATCAAATGAAAGTTGGAATTTGATATCTTAAGGGACAACTTACTCCGCACTAGTTAGTGTTAAATATTAATTAACAGAGGACGGTAGTTTCTCACCTAATTGTGTAGTCAGGTGACAACACTAACGCCTGTCTTTGAAATACTAGCTTATTTTTCATAGAATATTGGAGGTTAGTTATTTCACAATATAAAAGTTTAAACTTTTAATTTTATCTTCAAACTAAGGTTATTTTTGCTCATAAAAATGAAACACTATTCCCATTAAATGTCATTAATTATATGTTGAAAATAACTTACGCTTGACAGAAAACTTTTGTTTATTAAAACTACATAATTTTAAAGTATGTTGAGATATATATATATATTAACAATAGTAAAGGTGAATTTTACTACTTAAAAAATTAAGAAATTTCCCATTTAACACTATGTTGTTTCAGTATACACGTGCAAGAATGGGTTTGAATTGTCAGTGATATATGTCTCTACCAACTCCAACTAATAGATTAAGTTCAGGTTGTTAAGGGTCACGTGGATCTCAACTTGAGTTTTTTGACCGATAGAACTTCAAATCAATTCATTTCAATTGATATTTAAAGCGATTAGTCCTCATCCTCATCCTCCCACAAATGGTTGCACAGTTAGGTAAGATTACCACTCACAGTCTTACGTGTGAGGTCATAACGAACCTTAAGGCCTTTAGTTCAACAAAAGCGTAGAGTACACAGCGGTGGCGTAAGCGGGTTGGCCTTTGGTATTTGAAATCCTACGACACTTTAGGGTGAATCCTGTTGTGGGCCTAGCATCAACTTTTGCATCAGTTTGAGGTCAATCTAGTAGATTCTGTAATGGTGGGCTTATGGGCCTTTATGATTGAACTTCCAACAGTGTCAAGACTTTGCATTTGCCTTTCTCTGATAATGCTAGTTGTTTTTGTATGGTGACACAAACAGTGATAGAAGTAATAGATTATGAATAATTTGAATTGAATCCCTTCTGGTTAGACATATAACGAGACCAAAAAAATGAAAAAATTGGAGAACATGCTACCTTGAACCAGCATGTAACTGCCTGTAAGTTCCACACTCTGGCAATGGAGTCTACCGCCTGCAAGTTCCAGCACCATATATGAAAAAATTGAGGAACATGTTACCTAGAACCAGCGTGCACCGCCTGGAAGTTCCACACTCTGGCAATGGAATCTATCCACCTGCAAGTTCCAGCACTATAGTTGTCACATACAGTAGCGCATCATTTAGTAGAATGCAACAGCTTTAGATACTAGACAGAAGTAAAGAATAGTAGATAAAGAATAAAGAATACTCCATCAATGAATTTGTCAAGGCCATCACAGGTCCTCCAAAAAAACCACTATAGCAACCATCAATGTGAAAACACTGATGAAACCTAAAGGTCAAGGTGATTAATGTGGACTCAACTTTGTACTCCAGAAGGATATCAAACGATTACTTGAATGGATACGAAATGAATAAGAGATTATTTTCTTTCTATATAAGTGAGATTGTATACCTCTCAGCCCTGATTATCCTAACAGTCAAAAGAGTCCATACCTTGGAAGATTTACTAAAAATACCTTCAATTGGCTTCAGCTGCGAACTTCCATTCTGCATTGGTAAAGTTTTCTCTGGAACTCAAATCTGAAGTAGAAGCACGCAGATATACTGACAGAGAAACAAGAATATAATCCTACACAATCCCCATCAACAACATTGATTTTAAAGTTACCATACTGCATGCAAAATCAACAGTGTGTTTGACAAAAAATTAGATTTTTGGATCTGCTGTTGTATACATTAATGTGCTTATATTAATCTAAAGAAATCAAATTGCTAGCAGAACAAAGAACTTGACATGCACCATCCAGAATCTCAAAATCTTAATTTAAGCCCTATCATTTTCAATGATTCAGTGGCAACACTCAAACAAGCAAAGTTATATGAGACTGATAAAGCCTTTGAGAGTTGGGATCAAGGGCTTTGAGTTGCCACCAAAATCTTCACCGTAATTGTTTGATGTTGTACTTTTTGACCTGTTAGTTATGAGGATTTTTAAGTATCAAATAATTGAGATTTAGAAAGGAAAATGATGAAAGGGTAAGAAATCATAATTTCACTATTTTGTGAGTAATCTCAAACTATATCTAAAATTTAAGCCCAATGAAAGAAAGTAATGCCGAGCAATCCTTTAACTTGGAGAATCTTAATATCACTGATTTTACTTTTAAAAAAATGTGACTTTACTGGCAATAATGAAAAATTGCATACGTAGAAGGATCAACTACAATTACAAGGATAGTCTTTCCCAGAGAAAAAGAATAAATCTGCACTCACATGAAGGAAAGTAATGTAAATATAGAAGGAAAAACATCATAAAAGTACCTTATGTTTTGATCTGGTTTCTCTTTATCATCTTGCAGTGTGGTTTGTTTAACATCAGCTCTTGGTTATGACTTATTCAATGGTCAGAAGTTTATCGTTATCATCATCATCCCAAGCAAACCTCAAATGATTATCAATCCCTAACAAAAATAGCATGGCCTCCTCCATATGCACTTGACACTTATCTCCTGCAACAAATTCACAAACCTGACCATCCAACTCAATTAAGCTACAGCCTGGAACCTTCCTGACCTTCTTATCTTCCATTTCCTCCCTCACCTTTACCACCCCCTCCCATTGGTTAACTGAGGCATACATATTTGACAGGAGCACATGAACCCCATCATGGTCAAGACTTCGCTTGGCCAAGCTCTGAACTGTCTCTTTACCCAACTCAACATCACTGTGCATTCTACAGGCATTGAGTAATGCACCCAAGACATAGGAGTCTGGTTCCAGTGGCATCTCTCTCACTAATTTCTTTGCATCTTCTAGCATCCCTGCTCTCCCCAAAAGATCTACCAAACAGCCATAGTGCTGAACCCATGGCTCAATCCCATAAACCTTGCTCATGTCACTGAATATTCTTAACCCTTCATCTACCAATCCCATTCGACTGCAAGCACTTAGAATGCATATAAAAGTAACTTCGTTAGGAACAACTCCTTCATTCTGCATCCTTGCAAACAACTCAAGGGCTCTAGCACTTTGACCATGATTTGCCAGGCCTGAAATTAAAGAAGTAAAAGCAAAAACATCCCTATTCTTCATCTCATTAAATGCACAACATGCCATCTCAATGCACCCACATTTTGCGTACATGTCAATGAGTGCAGTGCCTAACAATTTATCCAACTCCATCCCATTTCTATCCACATATGCATGTATCCACCTTCCCTGATCCAGAGCACCAAGAAAAGCACAAGCAGTGAGAGCTCCCACTATTGCAGCATGATTAGGCCGAAACCCTGAAACCTGCATTTCATTAAAGAGCTCCAGAGCCTCTCTAAGCAACCCAACTTGCACATGCCCGGTAATCATCGCACTCCAAGAAACCACATTCTTCTCAGGCATTTGATCAAACAGTTGCTGTGCCACCCTAACTTCCCCACATTTAACATACCCATTTATCAAAGCAGTCCATGTAATAACGTCTCGGTTAACACCCATATCAAAGACTTTACGTGCTGAGTCCATCAAGCTACAACTCGCGTAAAGATGTATCAGTCCATTCTGTACAAAATCATATGATTCCCAACCCAATTTAATAACTTGGGCATGAGATGCTGCACCCAAAGACAATTCAGAGACCTCAGTGCAAGCACGAAGAACAAAAGAGAAGGTATAATTATTTGGCATGAATCCACTCCGAACCATTTTCTTGCAGAGAGAAAGGGCTCTAGTGTTTTGGTTTGTTTCAACAAAAGCTTTGATCATAGTGTTCCAAATGAAAGTGGTTCGATGTTGAAGACGAAGAAAGAGTTTGTATGCGTGAGAGACATCTGCATTGGGTGAGACTGCACAGAAGGATACGATCCTGCCCGCAGCATAAGGATCCAAAAGGCTAGCTGTGACTGTAAGATGGCACTGTACTTGCTTGATTTGGGTCATTGTGATGCATTGATCCAGCAAAGACAGACTTCTTTTGGTCGCCTTGATGTATTTGGAGGCAACAGTTGAACCTGACATTACCACTCGCGCTTTCCTTGAAAGTTGATACTCCTCCACTAACTTATATCTACACGGTGTTTGGTTGCCCGGACAGGCCCGAAGGGCTTTCCCGGCAGACTTGCTGCCTGCCACTACAGCAGAATTTTGCTTTTTTAAATTTAAACTAGGTACGCCTCGAAAGTAATTTCTTTATTTGCGCTCTATCTCACGGTCCTAAGCCTCGTACTAATAACGATGGTTTGTTGATTTCCATAGTGTAGTTTTACCGATTGTACCTTGGCTCAAACCAAATTGGAAAACATAACATTTTGTCATTTTCACATTTTATTTGATCATCAAAAAGGCATCGTATGACTCCTTCCTAATCATAAACACAAATGTACAACACCTAAGAAAGGTTACAACTAAGCTTGCAAGGCAAAATGATGGAAACTGTAACCAGCTCCATTTTTTTTAGCAGGGGTAAGTTCCACAGAAGAAGCAACTTAATTTCTCTGTGGAACCTTTTAGTGTGTTGTATGAGCTGATTTGATGTATGCAGGCCAAGGCAAGAAAGATATACAAAATAGTATGGACAAGCATCATATCAGTGAACCTTTGTCTGGCAAGAACAAGTAACGAAAGCGCGAGTCAAAGGGAAGAATGCCACAGTTACGAGAACCAAGAAGGCTTTGCCGCCTTTGCGATATGCATTGCTCAACGAAAGCAGCCTGATTTGATGGCAGGTAATGTGATATCCACACAGCCAAATTTGCATCGTCAACAAAGCCTTTAGCAAAGCAATGTAGCAATTTTGGCACCAATAACTTCCCTTTGCTGCTAACTCCTACTGCAGCTCGGATATAATCACGCTGTGCTTCTTCAAGCTCCTCTCTAACACTCGTGGCAGTGTAAATCCTCACCTGAATTGACAAACTCCTTCCTAAATGAGTTTATGATTCAAATAATTAATTAAAAAAAAAAAGTTTTTGATATTACCGATGGGGATGAGTACATTCCACAACTGAGAGCAAAAGATAAGAGTGGCTCATGTGCATCAATTGCCGACTTTCTTTGCTCATCTGATACCTTTAGTTTGTGAAGTGCGAGAAGTAGAGCCTAACAATAATTTTCAAAGGAATGTTAAGTCAGAAGTGAAGTAGATAAGCAGGAATAAACATCTTTCAAGGGTGCCCTTACAATTTGGGGTCTATGCAATGGTTGTTTCATCTTCAAAATGGCATATTCAATAGCAGCTGCACTGAAAGAATGCCCTCCAACAGTGTAGGCCGCCTACAAAGAGTGAAGAACTTTTATCAATAGAAGGTAGCCAAAAATCAAAGTACGTTTATTTGCACCAGCAGTACTGCATCAGACTTTGCAGTTTTACTTTTACATTCAGAAATCTTGAATAACTCCAGGACTTTTCTAAGGCAATAGAAGCTTAAATAACCACAAAGGAGGCATACAAGCACTAAAAACAAATTGAAAGGGTATAACAGAAATAAAAAGCTCAGAAGAATTTTAGAGATCACTGATCTATTGGCCTAATTTTTCTTCTATCATGATTTCCTTTTAAAGGAATTCTCTTTAGCCTGCTTTAATTTTGCTTGTATCTATAAATCTCATACTAGGAGATTTTAAGCAGCCTCACCAAGCAAAGTTCACTATAATTAACTGATCCTTAACAGGAAGAAGCTTCAATTACTTTTAGATTCTAAGGCAATAACTTCTACTCTCCAGTAGAACTAACTGCATCTGAGTTAATGCTGTATGTGAAAGGAACAAATTCTGACATGTTACCAAATAAATGC